CTTGCCATTTGCGATGGCGTGGATGGAGCTAGACATTAATATGTAAGCCAAATAAGTCGGTCAGAGAAAGAAAAAGAGCATGTGATTTCACTCATGTGTGGAATATAAGAAACAAGAGATGAACATGGGGCGGGGGAAAGAAAGACAAACCAAGAAACAGACTCTTAAGTATACAGAAGAAACTGAGGGTTACTGGAGGGGAGGTGGATGGGGGAAATGTGTTAAATAGGGTATGGGGATTTAGGAGGGGATTTAGGATGAGCACTGGGAATTGTACATATGTGATAAATCACTAAATCCTACACCTGAAAGTAGTATTACAAGGTAGGTAAACAGTTAATATCCAAAACATATAAAGTACATATAAAACTAAACGCCCACAAAATGAAGAATCCAGTTAAAAAGTGGGCAGAAAGCATGAACACACATTTTTCCAAAGAAGACAGACAGGTGGCTAATAGACACATGAAAATATGCTCAACATCACTATCATCGGGGAAAAACAAATGAAAACTACAGTGAAATATCACCTCACACCTATCAAATGGCTAATGTCTCTGCCTTTAAAAGTTTTTTTAAAAGATTTTGTCAGAGCGAAGGTGAGCACAAGCAGGGGGAGTGGCAGGGAGAGGGAGAAGCTCACTCCCCGCTGAGTAAGGAGCCTGATGCTGAACAAGGAGCCCTATGCTGAGTTAGGAGCCTGATGCACAAATCTTTCCCAGGACCCTGGGATCATGACTTGAGCCAAAGGCACAGGCTTAACCAACTGAGCCACCCAGGCATCGCACCTTTAAAAACTATTCTAGAAAGTTCAGAAGTTTTGCAGATCTCTCTTTTTTTGCCACGGGGCTTCTGACATGAGTTCTTTATCTTTCTCTCTATAAACTGTTCCAATTTCCTTTAGTGTTAGAGTTATATTTTTCTACAGCACTGTAAATTCAGTGTGCTAGTATATTAAGAATTGAAAAGTTTGTATTAACTGTCTCCCATGTGACGCCTGTGTGCCACATTTTGCAAAACCTTTCCTTCAAAAGAAGGATAAAACCCCTAAAGTCAAAACAACACAAAACAAAACAAAAAAACCCTTCACCTCAAACAATAAGAAGAAATTACTATACATTTTTATGTAAACATCAGATTACCAGTATCGTCATCATGTACACTGTCAGTTTTCCTGGCCAACATTTTC